ATGTATGTTTTGAAGGTTGGTAATGTCCGTAGATTGGACGTGCATTGTTTGCACTGATACATGAGAAAAAAGGCTTAAGTACTTGAAAGTTGCTGCCATTTTAGAAATATTCAACTGTAATCTAATTTTCATATTGTGGTTGGGAAAAATGTGCTCAGCCCTTATGAGTCAATTCTGCCATGGCCCCAATTGCACTCATTATGCATGAGTCACCTCTAAACATTAGCATGGAGAGACGCAGTGTGTGTGTGTGTATACACCCGATACTAATTCTAACCGGTCTAAAGTGTGAAGTGCATTTTAAGGCCGCAACTAACGATTATTTTCATTATCGATTAATCCGACAATTATTTTCTCAATTAATTGATTAATTATTTAGTAAAATGTCAGAAAATAGTAAAAACTGTCAATTAGAATTTTAAATGGGTACTAGATTTAAACAGAAACAGAAGGATACAACTAAATAAGACAGAGAAAAGAAGGTGGGGCCAGATCATCTTTTAAATTTCCTACCAATCGACTAAATGATTAATCTACTAACTGTTAATGCATTTAGACTGGAAAAATCAGAAAAATGTATACTTTAAAACACCAACTGGGCTACTTAATTCACCAACATTTTTCATTGACACGAATGTCCCACAATGCCACGAGCAACGAATATTGAGAAACTATATTATTATATTAAAACGATACACGAGAAACTCAATTACGAAATGTCATCGATGCAAATTCTTTGCATCGAGGCTTCGTTCCAACCCCCAGCAACACAAACTGTGGGACGCGGCAGCAGAACTGGTTAACGTTAGCTGTTAGCAGCCGGTGAGCAGCACAGTCCTGCTTGACAAAATCACAGCGCTAACAACTACAATTAAAGGAGGTTCCATTGAGTTATATTGTCATGAGTTCGAGCTCTGCTCAGCAGAGTTAGAATATAACGTCATCGTGGTGTGTTCGAATGTAATCCTGTCTTTGGCAAGAAACCTGAATAAATACAGCTATTTAAAGGAGATGTTTTCACAACAACACAAAACAGATATGAGAGAGGAAAATAGGGCCTGTTTAACTTGCTAACACTAGCTCTAAGCAGCCCATAATATATACGTGTTATAGTGTGTTGGTACTGCACCAAAGGAATAGCCCAATAAACACAAATTGTGTCATTATTACAATCTTGGAAAGAAATATTAACTGGTAATGACATGATGGGTCTTAATTTATCTGAACTCAGACTAAACTAATACCAAAATGTCTCTCTCTCCATCATCCATCCTTCTCTATGAGCTAGGTCTGTAGCTGCATTGTGTGTTAGCCTATATGCCTTCTAGCTCCTGCCTGCATGGTGGCACAGCCGAGCTCTAGGAGAGGCATCTGAGGACAAGCTGCTGCAGCAGACAGTCTCATTATGCCGATCTGCTGCTGCATCGCCCCGTTCTCACTCGCTCAACGCCATCCTCCCACTCCTTGCTCCCTATCCCCCCCCCCCTCTACCCTCACTTCCAGACTATCCCCTCCCCTTCATGTCTCCTTCCCTGCGCAGTTTCGTCTCTTCCCCACAATACAAGACTTTTCCACCTTCGCTGTTTTAAATGAATTACCATTCCATTGTTAACGTAATCCCTCCTACTCACAGCTGCTGACTAACAGGGATCAGGGTACAGAGATCATTGCAGCAGTATTTTGGGCATTGCCAGCCCCTCTTCTTCTTCTCTACATCTTTTTCATACACAATGCAGAGAGAGCCACTCTGTATGGGCCTGTTACCAAGGTAACGGCTGGGAAATATTTGGTCTAAGTGGCAAATGAGGCGGTTGATAAGATGAAGGAGAGAGGGAGTAAAGGACAGGAAATGGGAAAGGAGGTCAGAATTAAAGACAGGAACAAAAATGAAGGAACGGGCAGAAGAAAAGGTTTCGGGGATAAGGAGAAAAACACGCAGTGACCTTCTATGTGGCATCTATTGCTACGCTGTATCCTGCACTCCTCCACAGGAACACCAGCTAGGACATTTTGTACTGTGTGCAGCATTTCACTTTTGCACCATGCTAAGGCCGAACGGAGAGATCTGGCCAGGCAGTTTGGCAATAGATCAACACACATTAAATCCTGATAAGCGTCTGGAAGGTATAGACAGACGTATAAACATAGAAAGCAGTGCAATCTAACAAAGTTGGCAACCATCAATACAAATTTGGCAACCCCAGAATCATCTGCCCTTGTTCTAAAAATCCTGTTTCAAGTCCCAAGAGACCACTTCTTCACCTCATTTAAGTACGACGAATAGCCGCAAATCACGTGACACAAAGCTGGAGTGTTTCACGAAGCCGCCTCTCTTCTGCAGAACGAGCAGGTGGATCGAGGCAACAGCTTTGATGCGTTGTTGATTGCAAAGATTAAATCCACTTCAGTCACGAAAGGATGCTCGACGTGTCAAGAGATAGAGAGGGCTTTTGTATCTTTCGCTAAGAAACACAGTATTTGTGCACAGTACTACTCAGCTGAAGACAGAAGTTCCAAGTATTTTACCTCGAGCAGACGTGCACCGAGGGCAAGATGCTATTATGTATATGCATTAAATGTGAATGATGTATCTGTATGTATGTTTGTAGAAGATTTACTCAACACTCTTGTTTATAGCTCAACTGATTACGCACACACTGCCCGAGGGACCTAGGGTTGGCAGCTTGCATGCAACAGCCGTCACAGAATTTCCCCTTGAGGTGCAGTAGCATTGTGTCTACTTTTCAGATCAGATCAGACATGGTATTCATGAAGAGCCCTCCTGGATCTATTTTCTGCATGGGACATAACAAGAGTTTGACCAGGTTTAACCTGTGTTAAACTTCTAGTTACAGGATACAGAGAGACAGAAAGACTAACAGTTTCCATGTTACAGGGGGAAATATTAGCGAAGATTGTGGAGCAAATAGGTTCAGGATGGAGAATAAAAGAACGGGCTTCAGTCAGAGCGGCTCACTGATTTTACTGGTGTCGGTTAACCCAGGACTGCGTCACTACAGTGAGTTTAGAGGTTTCCCTGTCCTGCACACAATGTCCATGACTGTGTGCAGGACAGAGACAACGACTAACTGCCAGTCATGTGGACTCTGATTAATAAGAAGAATTAAAAATGTCATACGCTGCCGTTTAGTCCAGTCTCTGTCTTAGGTGGTGTGCGGCTGCATCTGTGCATGGCATTTGAAGAATATCAATGGAGAAGAGAAGCTGGGGCATGCAGTGTAGTCACGGTTAAAGAAAAGAAAACATGCGGCTCGCCTGGCATGAGATATGACATAAAGGAAATAAACAAAACACACAAAAGCTTCAGCGCCATGTCTGCGTAGGGGAAAGTTGTCTTCAAAGACAGAGATATAGTGATGGCAGAGGAGATACAGAGAGATTATTTTCATCTGGGTACGGTATATGAAGGCATGGACAGGACCTAAACCCAGGCACATGGCCAGTTTAGGGAGAAGGCTCGGCCCGCAGCCCGGTATCGAGCTCGTATGCGCCAGAAACACAGCAGGGCCCATCCGGACATCCTACCTGACGCTCAGCGCACTCCCCCGCTGTGATGTGTGTGTGTGTGTGTGTGTGTGTTTGCCTGCCTGCATTAGAGAAGCAGAGATAAAAGCGGAGCACACGTGACACAACCAACCATTTGCTCAAAATGTAATGATGTCACCAGACTGACTGGCATGTTTGTAAACTTGTGTTTTCTCCAGCACGAAGATGGAAAACTGCCTGACTTCCTCTCACCTGACCCCACCCTGTTCCTCCTCTCACCTTAGTGCGTCCATTGATGACACAGTCCCCCAGCTGTCCATTGGCAGCGCTGTGCATGACGGCCTTGTCGATGTAAGCCATCAGCGCCCCGATGGTCTCAGATCCCGGCTCTCGTCCCTCCACCCAGGCAATCTGGTCGCCCCGGATGTTCCGAGAGGGAATGCTCTTCTGGCTCACCAGCTGCCCGCCCCGAAATTTCCCGCTGCGGTTTAGGACTTCTACCTCCTCCAGCACCCTGCCGCCCAGCTGGGGGCCCAGGAAGTTGTCCTTCACACAGATACCGTAGTATTTCATGCAGGGGACGATGTACTGCCGGGCTATGTGATCTGCTGACAAGCCAGCCCCTGCGGGAGACGGCGGGGTCAGGATGCAGTGAGTCTCTATGGGGGACATCTGGCTGGGTGCAGTGGCCTCCTCAGGGCCTGAGGAGGCCACTTTATGTTCGTTGTGCTGGTTAGTGTGAGGGGTGATGGGAGATTGGGCAGTGACACAGTGCACGTGATTGATAGTCATTTGGTTTGAACCGTTGCCACAGTTGACTGTGTCCCAGAGCGGGGAGACAGCTTGGGCCACTCTGGAGGCCTCTGAAGATTTGTGAGCAACAATTCCATCTGCCAGCCTCCTCCGCTTAAAGTCTGACTCTCCCGGAGCAAAAACCTGGTCAACAGAACTCCCCAACCCCAATGGCCCCATTATGAGACCATTAAGAGTCCCTGACCCCATGTCCCGGTTCTCCCCACCTCTCCGTTTCTGTTGTTGCGCCTGTCTGGCTTTCAGGTCACCATTGATCCTCCTCATCAGTAAAGGGCACTTCTCATGAGTTGTCCGGTCCCCGTTCTCCATCAGACAGGCTCTGCTGGTGAGGGGGTACATAGGGCCACCTGTAACCCCCGCCAAACCCTTCATTTGCGTCGGGTAACCGTTTGGCGTAGGAGCCAAAGCGTTTGCGTGGCTCCCCTCCACGGTGGCAGATGGAGACACCACCCCGCCGTTGTGCAGCGGCACGCCGGTTTTGGGCTGCTTGGTCGGGGTTGTGATTGCAGCGGAGTCGGTCTGAGAGGCCAGACCGGCGAGCAACTCCGCGGCCGTTGGACTCCCGACCGGCACCGCGCAGAAGCCGTTCAGCCCCATGTCCGCTCGACACGTGTGGTGAGTCTCCGCCGCTCCGAAGGCGAGCTGCTGGCCGCTCGTCCTTCTCTCCCGCGAGGCTGAAACGGCGACGGATCCGCGGAGAGAGCTTGGATTTAAAAGGTCCGCGTGTCCCAAGTTCTCCATTTCACCTCCTCATCTGCTGGATGCGCACGTAGCTCACGTCCTCGCTTCATTTTCCAGCCGAGCCGCTGCTTTCTCTGATGGAGGGAATCTTTGTCACAGCCGCTTGAAGTTTCATGTCAAAGTCCTCTTCTGCTGGCATTTATTTCACCAATCAGGCTGCTGATGAATACCCTCAATCAGGAACACTTGTGCGTGTCCGTCGTATAAACATTCTGAGGCCGTGCAGGACATCTGTGGAGAGTGAAAGGATACACTTTAAGCCTATTAATAGCACCGTGCAGAACACTTGTCACAGTGAGGTGAAGTAAATAACTCTAGTATTTATATGGTGCGACATTTATTGGCTACAGGCCCAATGAAAACTAAACAACTAAATAAGTGCATGCCTTCTCTAGGTTATTTATTGCAGATATCCCAGCTGTTAACTCAAGGGAATCCGAGGAACGATGACGAACAGACAACTCTATTTCACTGTTAAAGTCATTTACACTGAAATCAGACTGAATACAACATTTCTTCTGTAGCCTAAACTTCTGCTGTGAAACACCTATTATTAAAAGTCACATTCCGTCTGTCAGCTATTGATTACCAACTTTGCTGCCTTGTGATCCTTCAAATTAAGCGTCAACATCAAAGTATTCAGTCCGTTGAAACACACGTTTCAGAGTGTAAAATATATCAGAACATCATGTTCAATTTCACATCGCGTCAGTCCACAGCTTACCTACGGCAGCTCGCAATGCAAACCCACAGTGAAGCGTACGTGACAGTCTGAGAGTACGCATGTTATTTCCGGGATTGTCTCGCTCGTGCGCTCCCCATCCAATTTAGTTGTCCGTTATAAATAAAACCCAGAGGTGGTCTGACACATTAAACTCAACCGAGGCACGGCTCAAGTCACACGAGGTGCCTCACCCACCCCCAAAAAGGGTTCTCTGCTGTAACGGCGAGATGCCCCACTTTGTGCCTGTCACCCACAACCCTGCTCCTCCTCCCTCCCACAGCATGCTCTCTCTCTCTCTCTCTCGCGCTCTCTCTCTCTCTCTCTCTCTCTCGCTCTCTCTCTCTCTTTAAATAAATAAAAGTTAACATAATGGCCTTCCCTACCAGCATGTTTATGCGAATAAGACATTAAATGTAATATATTCAAGTGTGATCATAATAAAAGCAACACCTATCGCCTAACCATGGCAATGCAGTCCCTTACAATAAATGTTGCTTATATTTGCAGTAGCAGAGTCCTGCAGTGAAAATGTTTCTTAAATTAAAGTTAGTATTATTAGCAAAACATGCTTCCTCAAAAGTAAAAGTAAGGACCCTGTGAAGGCTATGCATATCTTATCATCGGATTGCATACAGGCTACATTTTATTGTAATTGGTCGAGATGGAGCCGATTTGCACTAAGAAACAAATTAATGTTGTTAAGTAGAAAGTATACTTTTACCTCTGAATTGTAGCAGAATAGAATTGTGACAAATTAAATTTGCCAGGGAACAAGACGAAGCTCTGTGTTTTATTCGTTCTGGCAGATGCATTTGCGATTTGGTCTTGCAATATCAAGCTATGCGTTCAATGTGACGCAGTACCTCAAATTTGTACTTAAGTACAGTACATAAGAAAATGTATTTAGAAATTTGTGAATGTCTGACAAATCAAGATACTTCCTCACACTGAAACAAAAATCCTGTTAATCCAATCGCGTAATAAATCAGTCCTGTGTATTGTTTTCCAGCACTTCCCAGAATGGCCTTAATACAGCACAACAGAGCTATTAAAAGGATAACACAACAACCTATTTATAGGGACAGTTGAGCAAAATCATAACCAGTTGACAAACTTCTGTTGTCTCACAATGTAGACAGTCACATTGCCCAGTTCTTTAGGATGCATTTATCAGAGGACAGCCACAGTCAGCTGTTGTATAGTTTGTAGCCATTTATATCCGTGTTAGGACTGAATGAGTTTGACTGACTGAATGAACTCCGGCACTAAACTCTAGGCTTTAACTTTGCCTACAATTGACATTATTGTCCACCTGTTGGTTTGTGTAACATGAAATGAGGTAATGTGCTGTAATAAAGCCAGGCCTGGGTTCAGGGTGGTGGATTTAGTGCGTCATCCTGAGGGATTACAGACATAGTGTGTATTGACACAACACTGGCACGCCACATCCACCTGGTGCTTCCAGTGCAGCCCCGTCTCAGCCTACAGACGGACCAGTCACGTGAAGCCACGATGGAGGCCCACCGTACCACTCAGTGTACAAGTAGCTGTCTATGTCAATGCAAATATGGCACGTTTATCAAAACGCAGATCGAGATCATCTTCAGCATGAGCATGTTACAAATATTACAACTATTGCGTCTTCTCATCTAATTCTACTTTCTACTATTCCTTCACGTGGAGGAGGATAAAGGACACAGATTATAGTGACGCAAATGAGAAGACGGGGTTAAAGGTGTTGTGTCTGTGTATAACTTTGGGTCGATTGTGTCTGACCGCTTGTGGAGTCATTGAACTCAACAGCAGAGTACAAAGAACATTTGCTGGCAGAGAAATGTCATTTTAGATTTGATTGTACAATTGAGGGTTGCCTCTGTGAAATAGGTGGAAAGATCATCTCTTGGTCAAGCTCCTGATCATAACTAGATGATATAACAGCAGGAGAATTTTCATACTGCTGTAATCAGAGCTGTAAACAGCACAACAGAACACCATATATATATATATTAACAAAGATATGACAATGTCAAATCAGCTGGTGAAGGTTTGTTGACATGTGACATGTAACAGAGTGAACTAACTCTCTAAATTGGTAAAGAAATCACACAGGAAACTTGCAATGAATGAAAAAGCTGTCACGCAGTCTGCATACTAACATGAAAAATAACAATGATTGTCTTCAGGCAATAGGGAACCTGTAAGAAATGTTTCATCTGTGGTCAGTAGATCGTGTTTCTGTTAATTATCTCTGCCACATGACTACAACAGGTAACCTTAATGAAGGCTGCATCACCATGCAAGTCAAACAAGGCTCATGTGATTGGTTATGTGCAGCATGCACTGTATGTTTTATTGTCACTGAAAAAAGCAAGATGTGACCAAGGTTAGTGTGATAGCAGTTGACCCTGATGAAGTGCGAAGAAGTGTTTGAACAGCCCACAGCATATGAAATGCCTTGCATGGAGGTCAACATGATTTCATCAGACATAGGTGGTGATATAACACATGCATACAAGCCCACACAAACCATTAGACAACAATGTAACGGACATAAGAGTTATGGTCAGAATAAACAAGTCTCAATAAACAAGCCTCAATATAAATCAGGGCTCCCACAGACCAAAACAGAAGCTGTACCATAATAAAAGGAAAAAACAAGCTGGGAAACACACACATTCACGCACCTGCAGCATTAAATAACCCCGACAGCTTCCCATCCTGTATCCTGTAGTGTTGGTACATTATGGTACTTTTCCTCAAAATAACTCACAATGTAGTTTACATAATGAAAACATGACATCAACGGTGTACCCGTGTATTCGTAAAACGTATTTAGTTCATTTTAAACGTGTACTCTTGTATGCAGTTGACTCAGTTGTTCAGCAGTAACGTCTCTCCTTTAATTAATGTCAGTAAATCATTTATCTGCTGACCAGTTAGCACTTGAATTCAACACTTGTTTGTCCCAGGAACTGAAAAACAGTGTACTCTTTGCCAAGGTCAGTGCTCCCAACACAGCTGGCTGCAATCCCCTAGACTGCGTAACGCACGAGTGCAGCTCTGCACGTATACACATCTCCTCCTCCTTTTCTCAATCCCTCTCTCTATCTTTCTCTTTCCCGTCGACGCCGCAGGACTGAAGGACAGAGGATAACAAAGAGTTAACAGACAGTCGAGGCCTATAAGTAGATTTGCTTACTTTGCTTCTTTACTGTGCTTCCTGAGGTTTTAAAAGGCCAATATGGCTTAAAACATTTGGTGTAAATGTTCTTGTAAACAAAATATTTAAATTCTCAATATATTGTACTTGAATCGTACGGGGGTTTTATGTTTTTTGGACATGATACACAGGGATGAGGTTAACTGTAAACTGTGTGAAGGAAGGATGGTGTTTAAGCCAATAATGGGATCAAAAATCAAGTTGAAAAAAGGGCAGATTTGGAAAACAAGGAGGTGAGATTAAAAAGTCTGAGATGTGAATATGAAGTATTAAAGCTCTACAAAATGGTTTCAATCCAGAATTATATCACTATGCCCATAACATTTAAAAAAAGAAATAAAATCAAACAAAATATATGTAAAGAAGCATCATGATGACAAAGCCTGGTAATCTAGGCCTGCACAGTGAAGAGGAAGAGGATTGTTGTGTCATGTTGAGTAATACTGAGGAAATGAGAGCAAAGGGGGAAAGGAAGTGAGTGATACGGCTTAGTGAAGTGGTGAGACAGGAGAAGTTGAGGATCATGTGACACTAGTCCTCCTTACGAGCTCACAGAGATATAGATGCATGTTCTGTCTGCAGTGAAAACACCCACAGCATTCTGTCCACTTTATTGACCCTGAAGTACTGATAGTTCTAGAAATATCCATCATTAGTATCAGCACATCTTAAATATCTAGTACCTATTATTAAATACATGTGCATTACATTGTGTAGTCGTGTACTTTACCTGATGAAGCTATTTCAGGTCCTATTTGTCTAATTATTTTTGTCGCTTTTTGTTTTTTATAATTTTGCACAATTAACTACGTTGCATTACATCTTCATTTGTTTGTTTTTTCTGTTTAGCAATACAACTACTAAGTACTAAGTTGCCACCACATGCAGAGATTTTATAAATTAAAAGTCCAGCCTAAAGCTGAGAGCAGCTAATATCTGGGTTGAGATGAGACAAGCAATGTCACTGTATGGCTAAGATCTTCTGTCAGGGCAAATACCTACATAGTTCACTAACATGACATATATTATATACAAACCCAGTCTAAGAGAACTGAAATATTCGAGTTCTTCAGTATCACTGACACACTGATCATAAAACAACCTGTTTTATTGGTGACATTCAGAACATTGTGTCTCAAAACACATAACATATTCAAGTTACAGGTTTTTGGAATATTTCTATTTTGGGACCTAATTAAGTGGGTGCATGAGTATATACGCAGAATAATATGTTTGTGTTTAAAATAAACTCGCTGTTTGAAAAGACACAGGCGGAATGAACCTGCACTGCCACATGTTCAGTTAGATACACGCACACAACCACAGAGGCCTTAAGGAAATAAAGTTTGTCCTAGACTACATCCTGGAGAGCCTGGACCACACCCAGTATTACAGTAATCTTATCACCACAGTACAATAAAAACACATACTTTGGACAAATTAAAAAGAAACATTCAAATCAGATACCTCTGGTTACTTTACCAGGCAACAGGAGTACAAATAACTTTAAAAGGCTGATGATCCTTGCAGTTAATGGTAAGAATCACTATTCGAAAGAAAATCAGATTAATCTTCTGTTGAACCTCACATGTGCCTAGATTTGGAGAAAACGTAAAACAACCCTTATTAAACATGGAACATCCATTAATAGTGTGATTTTTAACATTATATTTGCGTATATGGAAGGGTTCTGCATACATTTTTCATTTACATTTCAATACTGTATTTTCCTTTTTTTTTCTAGAATATATACACAATACAATGACTGTTATATCCCCAATTGTACATATATTTGCATATGTACTGTATGTATCAAAAATAGCAATGATTTTGTATTTCGTAAAATTAACAAACACCTATAGTATTATGCAAATAATATGAGAATGTGAGTAGGCATCATTGAAGCAAAAGTCTCCTTTTCAGGAATACACTGCTGCTGAAGTTGGAAAATGTGTCATAATGCTGGATAACTTATCTGCATGTGTAAGCACAATGCATGTGTGCGTATATATGTATGTGTGTATACAAACATCAGTCCCCCATTGTGTTGGGGACAGTAGCGTGAGAGCGACCAAAGGGTCAGCTGCACATCACATCAAAGATTTGGCTGTTTGTAAAAGACACCACTATCAACACACACACACACACACACACACACACACACACACACACACAAATACATACTCCCATCTGAGACCCTGCTGCAGCTCTCTACGCTCCTCAAACTCAACAATCAGCTATGACCGGCGTGGCATTCTGGGTCCCGGTGGGCCAAAAAAGACAAAAGACCCTCAGGAAGAGGATGTCCCATCATCCTCACTGAGGACACAGGTATTTCCCTCAGACACACACACACACACACACACACACACACACACACACACACACACAGGTTCACTGGCTGTGCAACTATGGTTATACAGTTTCATCACCATGTGTCTATTTGATGTGATTTCCATAAAAGGAGGATAATAGCTGTGTGTGCATGTTTAAACCTCACTTATTACTTATTCACATCTCTCACAAACTCCTGATTGTCCCCTTCAAGTTCCTCTGAAGACATTTAAGATGTACTTGCTTTTTTGAAAGGCTCCACTCCATGGGTTCACTTTATGACAAGAGCCTTTAAAAAAAACGTGTGCTCCATTTTCTGTCTTTTGTACACCTGGCCAATTCCTCCTTTGCCTTTGTGTTTGTGAGCTTATTTTTAAGTTGAAATAATTGTATTTTGTTTTTTCCTGTCCGTTTTGTATGGAAGCCCATTTCCAACACTGTGATGAGGAACATAAAGATCCTGTAAGTCATTATAATGAGAAACTTTCTTAAAATAATGACTTACTATCTCATAATTACACTCTGTTAATTATGAGATACTAAGTCATTATTTTGTGAAAGTTTCTCATTATAATAACTGACAGGATTTTTTTCATCACAGTGGCAGAAATGGGCTTCCATAGTTCTGTACTGCTTGAAAATTGCAATAAAATAAATAAATAAATCTGAACTCGTCACAGCCTTGTACTCTGGCGCCCTCGGGCGGCGTGTCTATGCAATTGCATATTCTTTTTTATTATTAAAGGGGAAATGTCGACAACAAACGTAACATACAAGACAATAAATGAAAAGATAAATCAGCGGTGTTTAATAAGAACTAACTGAACTTGTCTTTGATTCCGATGCGTTCATTTACCTTCAGTCGCACGATGGCGCTGAATTCATTCTGCTCACCTTTTTCACAGCATCGTGCTTTCCGGGAGACTCTTCCGGGTTTTTGTCGTTGACCAATAGTGTGAGAGTTCAGAGTGCATGCATAGGTCGTGTTGTGCTTCTAACTTGTGTTTCGTGTCGCTGGCTGGAAGGCACGTAATGTGATGGCGTTCTGGAGTGTATTCATGAGACGGCACTTGCCGCCGGCCCTGTCCCACTTCGCCCGGACAGTGACGCTGGTCCGTCCTCCCGCAGCCCCGCTGAGGAGGCTGCACGGTTCGTCCCGACTGCGGCTCGGAGAGAAGGACCCGTGGGGGAAGATCCGGGGTCCGGAGCAGCAGCAGCAGTACCAGCTCTCAGACCTGGACAAGGCGGACGCTTTGGTAGGGAACTGTTGGAACGATATGTTCAGTTCATGGTGGAGAGAGCTTTTTAAACTGTGAAATAATCACAGCTGCTTTTACTTTAGTTACTCCTTTCCTGATGCAAATTAGTATCACAGTCACTATACACCCACAAGAGATACGTTTCTTATAATAAAACTTGCATCACTGATTAAATTGGAGGTTGATTTAATAATATTCTCCATTTTTTTTTTTTTACAGATGCTGAGAAAGTCCCACGAGACAGGTAACCTGACAAACGTCATGCTGGACATGTGTCTGCATTAAACCCTGAACCTCGTACATCGACGTTGATCATGTGCATGCATCATTTCGCAGTTGCCTTGTAGGTGTGGTACCTATACTACTTACAGGAGTGACAAAGCGACTCCTTAAGGGCCAACGCTTTAAAGTATGTTGCCCTTCTGACTGTTTGTTTTTAGTAGTTCTGTTGAGCTTAAAGGTGGAGCGACTTACACCACAATTACCTTTTATTTTCATTAGTACGTAGAGATTTAAGTCCCTGCATAACTCCACCCAGTGAGGCCCCGGACAGCCAAATCAAATAGAGGGCCCTAAAAACAAATCGTCACAAGATATTAGTATTTAAATGCATGCTTAGATACACAGTGCATACATACACACACAAACAAAAGTTGCACACGCATGCATGCACATCAATGCTGAGTGTTAATTAATGCAAAGAAGTAGTTGTATAAGTGTGCAGGGCCTTTAATTGACTGACTGCTTTTCAATCAATCAGTCAAATGTACTTTATATTAGGCCTGTAGTTAAAAAAAAAAACGTTTGAGATAACAGATATCTCCCAATCTTCTCTTTAATGACCCCATCTTTGCCTGAGATGTTGTTGTAAATACTGCAACATTGTCCTCAGGTTGCACTTATTTGGATGTGCACAAACCCAGCTCTGTCCCGATTACACTTCTTCGACTATAAACGTTTATAGTTCGTACTATTCTGTTTGTCCCAGTATACTGTTCTTGAGTTTACTTAATTTAGTCACAGTTAACCCATAACCTGCCTAGTAATAGTATGCACTGTATTATGAAATAGGGACACAGCTTCTTATCTCGGTATGCTTTTTTTTGTAAAATCATTTTTACAAGTCTTAGAATAGTCCAACTTACCACATGGTTTTGATAAACAGATCATCATATGCATGCAAACAGTGTGACTGGTTCTGGCTCTCTGCACAGATTTCTGGTCTGGCCGTAATGTGTCTGCCGTTTATTTCTGGCTTTGACTGTGTTTTTTTTTTTTTTGCAGGATTCCTCTCGTGGTTCAGGAACGGTCTGCTGGCGACCGGGATCGGAGTCATCGCATTTGTCCAGAGCGAAGTGGGACGAGAAGCAGGATATGGTACGCGCTCCAACTCGCTGCTTTGTGTACAGCAGAGCTGCAAATCAGTGCACGTGTAGCAGCAGCGCTGTGGTAGTATAAAGGCTTACTGCTAATGTATTCACAGCTAGTGGATTCAAGAAAAATAAAAAAAGGTTTGAAAAAAAAAAATCCATAATACACATTTTATGTAAGTATAGCATCTGCACCAATAGCTCTTTTTATCCTAAAAATCTATTTCTAAGAGAACCTTGCAATAGATTTTATTTTTTGATTCAGCAGATGAATAATTTCACAAGAACTTCTGCAATTGACTGAAATCACGAGTTAATAAAGAGCTGGTGTCCTTGATATCTAGTTGTAACCGATGTCATGTTTCCTTGAACAAAGATTATTTAAATCATTCAATAGTCATCGAGTTTGAGGCACAGTAATGTGTGAAAAACCATCAAAACACAATGTGCCAGCTATGGTACTAAATTGAATCTTTACATTATGTAAGTCTGAATAAAAGCATTACATGATTTACAATTCGTGAAGATCATTCATGGGCACACCAGTAGAGATGCTTATGTACTTGTATTCTATTTAAAATATTTTGTAGATAAACTTCTGAGATCATGTAGACGCAACCTGCCTCCTTCCAAGATGTAATTACAGTGAGAAAATGAACGGGTTCTCTACAATTATTCCGTGTCACTCTGTCTTTCCTCAGCCTTCTTCATCCTGGGCGGGGTGTGCGTGTCGTTTGGCGGTGCCTCGTACATTGGCAGCCTTTTTGCCTTGCGGAGGATGATGCTGCTGTCTGTGCCAGCGCTGCTGCTCCAAGGCGCCGTGGTGGGCAGCGTCGCCCTCTTCTGGCTCTGTGCGGTGTCCCTCTACATCGGCCGCCTGGAGGTGGAGATCATCCACGATGGGGAGGAGGAGGAGGAGGAGGAGGGGAGGGGAGACGATGAGGAGGAGTGCCGGGAGTGCCGCGAGAGGCGCGAGCACCGGGGTTACCGTGGCTCCCACAGCGGCAGACATCACGGCAGGGAGGACAAGGGGCCGAACAAGTAGACACCTTAGAGGGAAACTGTGTGTGTGTGTGTGTGTGTGTGTGTGTGTGTGTGTGTGTGTGTGTGTGTGTGTGCACGCTAGCGAGCGAGCAAGCAGCCTACATATTCATATGTAGACTGTGTGACTCCATCAAAGATACAGACTTATTGTTCACCGTTATATTGATGTAAAGATTATTGTTTCGGTGAACAAAGACTTTCAGACCTTTTGCTCAGAAACATTTTGGTAGTTGGACTACCTTCACTTCTTAAATTTTTTTTTTTTTTTTTTGTTGTAAGATTTATTATCAGATATATTCAACGCTGCTTCACTTGCATTATCAATCGGTCGGAAAATATGTATTGACTTGTTACTTCCAACGTCAGGCGGAGTGCAAAGATACACTGAGAACGTCTTATGTCTGTTAATATAAGTTTAGTTTTCACTGCATCGTATGCATTTATTACTCAGCCAATTGTTGTTGAATGCCGTTTGTCTTATCTTCGACATGATTTACTCCGACTACTTGAAGTTTTTATACAAGTCTTGAAATAAAACACGCTGGTTGTGATATGCTGTGAGATCTAGAAAGAATGATCGTACTCTGTGCATGTTTCAGGTCTGTCTTTATCAATCAGGGCTTACAATGATTTATGTTTTGTTTTTACAGATACCCCGCTAAGTATGTGTTGTTGTTTTTTTTAATTGTTTTTTTTTAAGGGTAATAGCACTTTTGTCAGTTTGTTATTGTTGTGACTCTAGATTTTTAAAAGCAAAATCTATTTTTCACAGTTTATTCTGTGGCTATATATCTGGCTTTGTACAGTACCTAAATGTAACCATAAACCTTTTTGAGTGAATTTCACACTATCTGGTGTTCACTGTAATTGCTGTTTAAATGGATGTAAAGAATGGGTCGACATTGATGGTACCGAGTTTGTGGGGGGGGACATACGGTTCATTTTTGTTTCTCTTATGTACATAGAATAATAAAGCGCAAAGATATCGACGCTGACACGGGGTTAAAACTTCAGTGTGCATAATTTGCTTTTACATTTAAATAGAGCTGTGGGTCAAGATTCACCAGGTAGATGTGAGGGTATGAGAGGATTAGCCAGAATAGAAAGACGCAGGTCTGCTTCACAAAATAATATCCATATTTTCACAACTAGTCTAATATTAGCTTTTCTAAAAGAAATTCTGGAGGATTGTACCTCAGGTGTTGCTAGTAGACATTGCTTAATTTTAAAGTGCGACAGGGCCAAAAGGTTGGGAGTTATTTCAATGGCCTATTGTTTTTGGTCATTTATTTAATTTCAAATTAGTCGGGGAATATTCACCACTAAGGTGAAACCTAAATTATGACCTGATTTTGATTATTTTAATTTTTTAATTAGATCGTGCATATTCCTGAATACCCATGTTTAATAAAATGAAACCAAACGGACACAACTTTGGGGCCTTGTAGAATTATTTTATTATATAATAAAGTTTCCATTTACAGCGGAATGAGTTCACTGTGAAGGGGTTTGGAGTTGGTTGCAGAAATACACAGCATTCATAAACTATTCAGGAGCCTTCACCTGTTTTATTCTAAAATATTTAGAAATGATTTTCTGCCCTCACATACACTAAAGAAAACAGGATTTTAGATTTAAGATTTTAAGTTTCGCATTTATATTAAAAACCCCAAAAGGGGAAGTTTTCTTAGTGTATTTAGAGCCTTAACTCAGTTGAAGTGCCATGACAGTGAGAACAGCCTTTCTTCTTGTAGATCCTCTCGAGCGCTGTCGGGTTGGATGAGGACCGTTGGTGGACAGCCATATTCAGGTCTCTTCAGAGAAGTTCAGGCTCTGGCTGGACCACTTCAGGACATGTTGGACGGTGAACCTTCAGCCCAGTCCTCCGGTCCTGGACCAAAAGACCAGGTTTTCATTGAGGATATCTCTGTAATTCGTAAACACCGCCACAGATGGATGGCTGGATGGATGGATGAGGGGTGCTTGGTTTCCTCCGGACATGTTCCATCTTGGATTCATCAGATCATAGAATCTTGTTTCTCATAGTCTGTGAGTCCTTTCGGTGCTTTCATCATGTGTCTTTGACTACCGTCTGGCCACTCTGCCATAAAGCCCAGATCGGTGGAGAGTTGCAGTAACGGTTGTCCTTCTGGAAGTTTCTTCCATCTCCACACAGGATCTCTGGAGCTCAGCCAGACTGATCATCGAGGTCTTGGTCACCTCTCTTACCAAGCCCCTTCACCCCTGATTGCTCAGTTTGACCAGGCAGCCAGCTCTCAGAGTCCTGGTTGTTACAAACTTCTACCATTTAAGAATTGTGGATGTCACTGTGGTCTTGGCAACCTTCAATGTAGCAGAAATGTCCTTGTACCCTTCGCAAGATGATCTATGCCTCCACACAATCCTGTGTCTGAGCTCTGCAACCATATGCTCTGACCTCGTGTGTGCCTTTCCATTCAATCAATCCATGTCCAATCAACTGAATTAACCACAGGTGGACTTCAATCAGGGGAACATATCAAAGATGATCAAGAGGAAATGGAGGCACTGACAATATAAGGTGTGAATTAGAAAAAAATGGATTTCTTACCATTTGCACAGGTACACTGGAAATGTTGTACATATCTCTGTCAGCTTTATATAAAACAAATGCAAAGAAAGGCAGTTAAGAAGAGCAAAATTGAAAAGGTGTGGACAAAATGTGGATCTCTTTCCTAGATCGTTAAAATAAATCAATCAAAAACCCTCATTTGCACAAATAAAGACCTCTACTTGAAACACATAATAAGCTGCTCATCTACACGAACTGTATGAATATATAAAGTGAGCTGGGCAGCATGTGGTTGCTGTGTGTGTGTGTGTGTGTGTGTGTGTGGGAGTGTTGGTGATGAGGGGGCTTTGTCTGTGATAACTATCACTGACTGGGTTAGGGCGAAGGTCTGTGATATCTTGCGGCCATCGACACAAAGTGTTGCTGTTGAGACTCACCTCAGAGTCACCCTCTCTTCCTCTCCTCCTCTCCTTTGCTCTCACTCTCCTCTCCTCCCACCTCCCCTTCACCAATTCCCAGGGCGTTCCAATGCAGTTGTGTTTCACATGCAGGGTGTGTCTACATGGCTGCTGCAGTGTGACCAGCACCCTACCTCCTCTCCTCGAGCCCCTCTCCTCCCTCCTCTGCTCTCTCACTCAGATCCTCTTCTACCCTTTCGCCCTCGAGTCCTTACTTTCTGGACTCCTCCTCACGTTCGCTTCTCCTCCCCTCCCTCCCTCCCTCCTATCCTCGTCTCTCCTCCGTGGCTGCATCTGACTGCACAGGTCTGTTTGGCATGCAGGAGGCTCCTGAGGCCTGGCGCGTCTAAAGGGCAGGGCGCCCAGAGGCAAGAGACGCGCCCTCACTGACAAACACCATCCACCCCATGACCCGAGCCTCAGAAACCCCAACAGCAGCCGTAGCTCCAAGTCCAGGTCGAACCTCATACATCTCAAAACCTCAACTGTACATCCACACTCCCAGCCCTGGAAGTAGGAGCCGTAACCTCTGCTTATTTTGAGACGAGATTGCTCATCTGCTCTCAGGTGTTAAATGCCACACCTATGGATCAAAGCATCTGCCTTGAGACCTGCATTAAGTATGGATTTGGCCTTCTCCTGGCTGAGAGGAGAAAGAGGAGATTGTTGGGAAACATTGACATAAAAAGTAGAGGTAGCAGAGGAAGGATGGAGGAAAGACAGAGTTGTGGAGATGTAGTAAGCCCCATGTCAGGTGAAAGCTGTCTGGGTGTCTCCCTCCATCCCTCACTCTATTATTCCTACCCATATTTTTACTCTTTCAAATTCATTTACATGTGCGAAGGTATTTCCCCCGGGAGCGCGACTCCAATTCAGGGGGTAAGATAAGCCATCAAAGTCCGTGACAGAGAGGGCATATGGGTGACTCAATGACAGGCTGAGTAGAAAACAGTCAGGAGAGCTGCCATGACTTGTGACCACACACACACACACACACACACACACACACACATGCACATTGACACAAATAGTGCACTGTACAAGCCGCACCTTAACTTTGCTTTATAAAGACTGTCCTCCACAGAAAAGACGATATAAAGACAAAAACCAGAGGTTATTGTGCAGCTCTGTCCCAGCACATCAGCGCGCACACACACACACACACACGCACACACTTATACAGTACATACGGTTTTGCACGTACAATGGCATTTTCTCCCCAACAACTGCTCTTGTTTAGTATGCGCTTCCTTTGGTCTTGAGGAGGAATGATCCTCACTCTAATGAACTAGGGCCTGCCACTTGAATGTAAAACAGGATTTAACCCGTCTTCAATGTCAGAGCCCCTCCCTGGGGCTGCTTCAGACAACACACACACACTTGCAAATTCATGGAGATACACACACGCGCAGACACACAAGCAAACCATCAATGTACGCACACACACACACACACACACACACACACAGTGATGCATGCCTGCATATAGTCTCTCATAAGTGAAATGCTCTCCATGTAGTCGCTTCTTTCTTGATCATTTCACAGGAGTTTGAGTCTTTGTTAAATCCAACACACTCGAGCGACGTCCTGCTTCATGCCAGGGTTGCTCTCACCTGCTCCACATGTTACTTTTTTTAATAAAGAATCAATATTATTGTGTTTTATTGTGTGGGGAATTGTGGTTCGTCAACTCCAGGGATATGAAGGATCGCCACATAACTACTTGCAGGGACATCTTTTATATTTATTCTACCACTGATTTGTCTCGTGTGTTTGTTATTCTTGGCTGTATGTTGTATGTGAATTTATGTTAGTGCCTGTATAGTGAAAGGCTGTATATAAATGTCCCTTATATGCCATCAAAGAATGAAATATTGATGTGTTGTGAGTGAGATGCGCGTTAGCAGCGGACGTTAAGACTAACAAATCTACTGTATGCAAATGTCGTGTAGATTTACCTTAAAATATGTGTCCCACAGCCACGTGATCTATTTGAATCACACGTGAAACCTTAATTAACTGTTATGCCATTTCATGTATCTTAATGGCTGAGTTTATGTGCCGCGCAGATGCAAGAAAGAAACAACAAAGCCTTGAGTTGTGCTCCTCTACTGGAATATTTTATTGTTATCGTCATCTGTATCACTGGTTTTCTTTTTACAATTTGTTCATTTTATTTGATGAGTGGGTGGAATATTCACAAAGATGGGAGGATCATGTTAAATTCACAGTGATGGGCAAGGGGTTAGCTATTTAATTAAAGAAAAAACAACAACATACACACTTGGACAAGCATACACCATACACACAGGTTATACCATTAAACACCCGAGAATATGTGCGCTCACACATGTGACAGCGACAGTATGGGTGCGTAGTGCATGTCGGATCTGAACGATTAGAAATGTTTTTTCTTCTTTTTTTCTTCCCACATAAACTGAGACCTCAAATCAGACAGTCGACCATAATCTCAATTTGATAGCAAAACAAAAATAACTTATATATGTCTGGCTTTATGTCCTCATTTTAAAGACTTGGTTTCCAACAGATTTGATAAAATCACGTGTATTTTGATAACATCTTAGATCAGTTTGAAGGACCTTATTCCAAAATGCTAGAAAGATATCTGATGTTTATTTCTGAGAATCTTGATTGTTGTATTATTTTCACCATTTTTCAATAATGCATTTAACTGTATTGAAACCAACTTTTTGTCCAAAAGTGTCACATTTTCATATTTGTAAAATATAGCATTTTGGATTTTTAGACAACCACTGAATTGTTTGTGACTCACTTCAGTTCAAATGCACTGTTAATAACATCCGGACTGTAATATATATATATTTTCTTCAAAAAAGTGGTTTGTTTCTGTTTGTCTTTTTCAGTCCTGAAAGAAATTCCAATCAGTGAGAAACTGAAATTTAAAGTGTTTTATATTCCCACTTTGAATTTTAAACTTTACAGTTGACTAAATTGAACTGACACCATTATCAGAATAATTCTGTTTATTTTTATTGACCTCTTGGTCGCCTTTTAATGACCACATTTGGTCTGTTTATTTATCTGCTTTTTTAAAATGACCATATATCCCTTCCACTCCACTAGGCCGGGCTATGATACTAGTGACCACTCTTGCATTGTTTTCTGTTTTCAGGATCACACAGTAAGTGTTAAGTGATGAAGTGCTTTGAGTTCACACCAGAACAAATTTCAGTAAGTGCTCAGTAAGACACACAACAAAAAAGCACTTGTGTCCAGCACCATTTCCCCTCCTAAAAACATTTTCAGAAATATATTTTTTTTAGAGAACAATAAAAAGGTATTTGGATCACATTGTACATCCAATAAAACAATGTTATTTTGTCTGTCTAGACTCATTTTTCACATCCTTCCATCTGTTTTATCTGGTGAAAAGAAATTCAATACAAACCTCAAAAAGAAAAAACAAGAATATGGCTTTCATACACAAACATAACCGCAGCATCATACAGAATATACTATATTTAATACTCAGTTAAACAAATTGCTCTCCTATAATCAAACAACAGAAATTGCGTCCTGTCAGCATTGCATTTTTTTCCCTTATATATAATGGAATGTCTGGGACTACATTATTCATATTTTTGTCCCAACAGTGTGCTTTAAGTATGGCTGACTGATGAAGATGTTTTTATCGTTATCATTTTGAATCTCAATACAAAAACGCCAGAGGACTTTCTCCGTCTTTTTTAAGGGAAACCCTATAATCATATTCTCACCTGGAGCCCAGTGTGATAGATGATTTGTATAATACTGCAATAATAAAAATGTATATTTCAAAGTCGCTTTCATTCCGACAGACAAGTGTCCATCTCGCTCTACAGGCTTCAGGGTTAATTGGGTTAATTGGAGTGACAGTGAGGAGGATGTGAGCTGAGGGTCTTTATGGTTTTGTCTCTATATACAATATGGCTTCTCTGAGTGGAAGAGACACAGAAATCAACACAGTCATCTAGAGAAAAACACAGAGCAGAGTTCATTATTGTTGTAGAGACGGAAAGTCTTGAGGGACAACCAGTCAAAAGTTTCCATGTCCCGTTTTCTCTGAGAGTCACTGTCACTTGTCCACAATGGACAGACACAATAATTCCCTATGGCAGCGACTTGTCACATATTTTAAATCGCAGTTATTCAACTCATTGTCCAATTAGTAATGTCCTTAGAGGCTTAATGTCCTGCCACTTCTGTCTCTCCTGCCCTTTTCAATGTCTCTCTTTCTGGTCTGTCACTCTGCTCCGTCTTTCATTTTTTATCTTCTCCTCCCCCCTCCTCCCGTCTGTCTCAGTCCTCCTCGGAGCCTGCAGCCCCCCTCAGTCCGTTCATACAGAAGGGCAGGCCGGAGGAGAAAGGGCTGTCAGACGGGGAGAAACCACTGAAGGGTGGCAAGCCAGCCAACCGCTGTAGGTGGGGAAAGAAGGCTGGCGGGGGTCCCTTGTGGTGGTCCGAGCGTAGCTGCAGGCCATCGCTGTGTTCTATGCCGTGGTGGTGAGAGGGGGGCAGCTCAGGTGGAGCATAACGGATAGTGCTGGGAGCGTAGAGGCTCTGAGGGCCCTGCGGGCCGAGGGCAAGGGGGTGGAAGAGGACCCGCCCCGCTGCGCTGCCTGCAGCCAGTCTCTGGAGCAGCTCAAAGTCAGGAGTGCTACCTATACCACCACTGCTCCGAGTGACCAACCCCGACACAACCCTGTCCTCACGGGGCAACGGGGAGGACACGGACATTGCGGGAGAAAGAGCAGGGGAAGGAGGAGTGAACAACCCTTTTGGGGGGGCGTCACTGCTGGAAGAAGAGTCAGGGATTGGAGTGGTGGGGCTGTCGCCATTAAGGCTGCTGGAGGGTGTGTGTGCATGCGAGGGTTGAGTGGTGTGTGTGTGGGAGGTGGCGGTCTGTGTGTGTGACCCCCAACGGCCCCCGTTGGTCAGGGCTTCATGTTCAGTCTTGATGCTGGGGCTGCCAGGCAGGGGAGACGGGGTCACTACGCTTTTCAGTTGCTGGATCACAGCCCGGCCGTTGTGCACCCTGCTCCCCCTCTCCCCTCTAGTGGGGGTGTCTCCTCCCCTACTCTGTTTACCTCCTCGACCGTCTTCCCGTTTCAGTCTGTCACTGTTTCCCCCCTGGTCCCACTCTGTCTCTTCCTCGTCCTCGCCCTCGCTTTCGCTCGCCAGGTCAGAGGAGGCCGATACACTCTCCTCTGTGTGACGGAGCTCCTCCAGTCTGCGACGGGTTTCCGGAGGAGCACCCTCGGGGTCGGACCTCAGCAGGCGCTTCCTCCTGTCCTCTGATTGGATGGCAGCGGTGGTAAATTTCTCTCTGCCTTTAGTGTCGGCGTCACTCTTCCCCACCGAGCTCTTCACTGGTTGCGAGCCTGATGAGGAAGGATGATAAAAAAAGAGGCACAAGAAGGTGTTTATGTGTGTCAGTGGGCATCATGGGAAGGTATTAATGTGTGTGTAGCATCCTACCTCGGGCCTGGGGGGAACTGTCGGTGGGGGACGAGCTAACTCGAAGTCGCTCTGCTCTTACATTCTCTGGTAGCTGCAGTATATCCAGGGGAGTGTCGGGCAACTCTGTTCGACTGGATGGATGGATGATATTAGAAATAGAGATAGTTAGATAGACGGATGGACAAACAGACTATGAAAATTCAAAAGGAGAAAGGGAGGGAGAAAAGCTGCACGTATACACCAATGATCATCCACCACTTAAAAGCCACTTAAAGCAAAAAAAAGCGCTATTGCTGTGCTGATTTGAGTGAATACTTAGAGATGGAAACAACATATAATCTGCCTAATAACAACCTCCAATAGCCAAACTGCCCCTTGTAACCTCCACCTAGCACATCAACCCAATTCTCTAAACAACAGCCCTTATCACACAATACACAAGCACCGACACGCAAAACCGACAGATACACCGCCCGTCAAGACACACACACACAGAAACACACACACACAAGGCCCCACTCAGCAGCCCACCTATACACAACTAAGCTCAGACAAGGAGGAGGCTGTTGGAGAAATTAATGAGCTCTTGTAATTACAGCACTAATTAACTAAAACACCATTCAGCCCCAAAATTCTGACATCCATTTGTTGTAATTATATAGCTTCAGTCCAATTAGCATTGAAATTCAGCCTACTCCTCTTGTTTTTGTCTCTGCCGTGGTGCACACATTTTTATTATGTACGTGCGTGTGTACAATGTGTGCATGTGTCTTCCAAATGTGTGTTTGCGTCAGTGTCTGGGTGAATATGTGTGTGTATGCAAGAGGGAAATAAGGGAAAAGCCTATTTTGGTGAGGTTACTGCAGTTGTTGTGCCTGTTGAGTGAATAAATAAAGCCTTAAACTAAAATAATACTACATTTAAATTGTAATTTGAACAGAAGCAAAAGGTGCAGAGTCTTGGAATTTCCTGAATCAAAGCCTCCTTATAAGATCATGCCTGCCAATTCAGAGCAATGACATTAAATAGTGAGTAAGTAATGCTAAATTGCTGTTTACAGACTCTGCAGAGTAATGACTTTTACTTAAAACTATTTTAAGAAAACTCTGTAAAAATAAATAAATGAATAATAGACTAAAGAAAGGGTTAGGGTTAGAAAGAAAGTGAATATATATAATATATAAACTCAGTTCCTACCAGCAGTCCTGGAGCACAGGCTGTGGTTGTACTGACCTCAGAACGTAGTTGACCCAGATGACGTTGCGTTCATGGGGGGCTTTGTGGTTGATGGAGACGGTGGCACTGGACTGGATCCACAGGTAGCCTCCTCTCCTCTGGAGCCAACGGTAGTAACCGGTCACCACCTGGCCTTTCCTTAACACTGAGAGGAGATGGGCGGAAGATGGAAAGAAAGGATGCAAAACAGGACACGGGAGAGAAGAAGGACAGGGAAGAAGCGAGTTATTAGTTTGGCAGTTCATGATGATGGCAGCAGAGGGCGCCTATCACAACAGGACAGAATGAGATTTCAACTGGCTCTCCATGGTAAGTTCAGGCACTGTGTAGAATAAGGTGGGTGGGGAGGAATTACATATACTACACATGCATATAGATTTGACTTACAGTCCTCGTGGCTCTGCCGGAGGTTCTCCAGGTCTTCTACATGGATGAAGTGGTAACAGGTGTGTCCCACCACCTCTGCTGGGGTCAGATCCATATACTCTGAGATCCTGTAAAGTCATGCAACAAAAACACACTCATTTGTATGTATTCAATGTCCATACCGCTTAGCCTCAACACACGGAGAAAAGACCCTACCTGTTCTCACAATATGTGACCTGTAGGTCCATGTTCACTCGGAAGACAAACATTTGGCTCTCCATGCGGACTTCATTAAGTGTGGAGGGCGGGAGGGTGTGTGCCAGGGAAACCAAACCAATCGGTCGACGCACTGAGCGCGTGGAGCCCGGCACAAGCGCAGGGCGGCAGCGGATCCGTCCTGTCACATGGATTACCTGACAAACAGAAGACATCAGGATGTACTCGTTTCACAGGACTTTTTTTTCCCATTGCTAGACTTTACACAATCCGGGATATAGAAAATAACAATAAAAAGTAATATTCAAAGGTAAAGAATGCAGCAGCACAGGCATTACAGCAGTGAGTGCAATACACTGACTGTTATGTGCAGCGTTCCAGTGTAAAATAAGGTCACAACCATAAAACACACTGAAAACGACCAACTTGACAGAGCTGTGAAACACCCGACCTGTAAAACAATATGACAAGACTCTTCTTGTTATTTTACCATCCCAAGAACAAGCAGGTGAATAGGAGTAATACAAGGCATTCTTTCAAATGATGAGAAGTTATTTTCTCTGTACCTTGTATCCAGAAGACTTGACATGCAGGCCTCTTTTGGTGAGCGTGGACTTCATGCGGATGAAGTAGCCGCGGTCGGGAGGCTCATCAGCAGGAGAATGAGGACTAGACGGAGCTGTTGAGGATGAGAGAAGACGTAAAACTATAAAACATATCCATCCGGCAGGATTTGTCATAAATTCAATTATTTTAGTTTTCGTTGTTTTGATGATGTAAATTTATTTTTGTGGATTGAAAGTACCGGGTTCAGGGGTACCAGCGAGAGATGAGGTGGATGCGGAGCTGGAAGCGCTCTCGGGGCCCGTGTGACAGCCGGCCTCTGCCCTCAGATGCGGTCTGATTCCCAGCCGCTCGGCCATCTCCACGTGGTCCGCCGGGTGGATGTAGTCAAACACACTGCTGCCGGTCACCTCCACCTGAAGAGAAACACATGCACTGATCAAAAACTGAAGCTTAGAGCACAAACGCCTGCACATGAGCGCCCACACACACACACACACACACACACAGGAAAAAATCAATATAAGTTATGGCAGGAAAATGAAAGCACTGCTCTGGGTTACAACTCAACAAGGAGTGTAGCGGTTGTAAGACATCCCCACGCACACACACACGCACATACATTTAAGTCCAGTCTCAGAGGACCAAGTGACTTCAGTATTACACAAATAAAACCAGGGGAGATAAAAATCAATTGTATTTGCTGATTAAAAACAGGTGAACTCCAAGTATCTCCAAAGGTCACATTACTATTCTTCTTATTCCCTGTGTCCCTCCCTTCTCCTTCATTCAGTGACAGTCTATCCCGGCAGGCATAAAGAGCAATGCAACAGCTCATTCAGCTCTATATGATCCTATCATCATAATGCATCACAGTCGCATCTCTAATCATGTAAAGGTAATAATGGCGCTGCTCTTGCATGGCATCCATAAAAGCAGCACAATCGAAGCAGGCGTGATTCCATCTGAAGCTGTATACATGATTGTGTGTGTGTGTGTGTGTGTGTGAGAGAGAGAGAAAAAGTAATATGGGAGAGAGACTATGCATGCTTACACACATGCATACAGTTTCTATTACATCTGTGAATGTGTGTGCGTCTGTGCATGTGCGTGCCAATACCATTCCATCTGATAAAGCCGTGGCTGCAGCAGCCTCACACCCTTGTCTGTAGGACACAGCCATTTATTACCGGATTAGAGCCATTTACTGCAGGCTTTATGGGAGCTTCAGCAGGCCCTCAAGGACATCACAGCAGGGGGAGAGGAAGGAGCGGGAACAGGGAAGGTGGGAGCAGAGGAATGAGGTGGACCATGAGTGAACGGAGAGGGGTATAGATGGAGGAAACCCCAACGAGTGAGGGAGGATAAGCGAAGGGGATAGAGGTTCTTAGCCCCAGACATGCAGGGCTTAATCTCTTGAGGGATGTCCTGTTTTTTGGAAATTTGCCACCAAACATATAATTAAATACTGGGATTTGATAGGCACCATATGGAGTGATTTCCCAACATACTGGAAAACCTACCTTTTGACATATGTACCTAAGCCAAAATATAAATCAAATTATTACTTCTTTGTCCTAAATTTGATGGAGATAGCATTACAGAAATTGATCAAGTCAAGTGACTGATAAAGAGAGGCTCCTAGCTAGCAGTTTGCAAAGACCTTGCTAACTAAGTCACATTGGAAAGATTTGATTTCCTTTTCACTTGTTACATTAGAGGAGATAAAGATACTCTCGCTTCCGTTTCATTGACTTTAAAGTCAGCACCTGCGATAAGACATTTATTTTGGCCACTTGTGGGCAGCGAAAACAAGTTATGAACACAACATTGACATATCTTTCAAGTTGTAACTTGTTAGCAAAGAGTTGCTTATTTTAAACAGTAGTTTACGGAGCAACGTTATCATTCATTGAGATTTCTGTTTCTGGCCAACTGGTGAACCTTAGTCCAATATTCGATCTCCTTTTAGCTCTATTTTTGGTCTCTACCAACTCCTGATATATATATATATATATATATATATATATATTTATAACTATATATATATATATATATATATATATATATCAGGCTATTTAGCTGCAAAATATTCCACTGTGTTCACCTGCTAGTTGCTAAATGTGTCTATATGCTGTTTGGTGCTGAGCAGGTAGTGTACAATGGGTTTTTGTAGCTTTGTCATTGAATAACAGCTGACTGCTGCTGCCGAAAACCACGCTGCGGTGAGAGAGAACCAAAACAGTAGAGTTGCAGCCAGACAGCTAAACAATGAGCTGAAACTCTATAAAACTCTGCAAAGTTGAGATGAGCTACAGATTCAATTGATAAATAATTACTGTTTGGTGTCTTAGTTATCTATAACTAATGATCAGGCCCATGTGTTTTCAGGTTCTTTCATATTAACATTGAATTTTCAAAAAGAAATATCTTTTTTTTGTCTATTTTCAGGAGTACAGTGATCACCATCTTGTGCTGTTTTCTGTATTTATTTCTTGCTGTTTGCGGAGCAGCAGATGATAGTGATTTAAGATGATTACTGCCTCTTAAAGAAATGCCTTTTCAGTTTCACACTTGCCCAAGGAAGATCTTGTATAGATCGAAACGTTGCTTTGAAAAGAAAAAAAAGGACAAATAAACTATTTATTCGGAGCCTGATAGTCTGCAGAACTCCTTTGTGCTCTGCGGCAAATTATTTTTGTTGTCTCGCACCTGAGTATCTTTGCCTGGATGTGCACACACTTGGTCTTCCATAATGTTTATGGTGCTAAAAGATATCCTGTGTATTAAAAGGGTTACATGGAAAGCTTCACAACAACCTCCCCGAGTATTTTCTTTCTCTTTCTGATCGCTCTTCTCTTCATTATGCAGATAAAACGTCAGCAGTGTAATTACTAGGTGCTGGGGTTTTCTGCCGCATTCCTTTTGATTCTGACATCAAAACCGACTCGTTCATTAATGTTTAAAAATTAGGAGTTTGCATCTACGTATTAAGAGGCTGAGTACGTGGACTGGGGTTTGGTTTGTGAAACTCTGGATGAACCATGCTTTAAGCATATTTATTGCAGATTATATCAAGATACAGCTGTCTGTCTGTCTGTCTGTCTGTGGTCAAGGTGTCTGTGTTTTATGAATAGCGATTCCACTGCAAAAGGAGTTCTTGTCATTGTTTAAACAAGGACTAAATTTACCTCTGCTCAGAACACTGGACCAGCCATCTGAAAGAGACACAATCCCCTGGCCCTGTGGTATTGGAAAACAAGGTAGAGAGACAAACAGGTCCTTATGGGCTTTAACGGGCTTAAGACCTATCCGAATAATATCACTCCATCACAGGCAGGAGGGAGGGATTGAAAAAAGATCAGACAGAAATGAGAAGATGAGAAAGAGACGGAGCGATTGAGAGGATGAGTCAGGCTCAGACATAAAAACAGGTATAGAATGTGGCGCGAAGGGAAGACGTGAGGAGAGACCGAGATCATTCAAATCCCTCTGAGTGTGTGTTTGTGTGTGTGTGTGTTTGTGCGTATGCAGGCACACGGCGCGCCTGTTTCCCTGCGTGTGACTAGACTGTCTGTTTTTGTGTCTCCACGCGTCATTGTGTGTCATTGTTTGTGTGAGTAGTTGCCTGTCAGTGCACCTGCGTGAACCTGCTTGTGTGTTTGTGTGTGTGTGCAGAGTGCAGACATGCACGTGCATGTATGTATGGTAGTGTGGTGGGGGTGAAGGGGGAGGAGGAGGGCAGCAAGCAGGGGAAGGAGAGACATGATATAAATAATAGCAGGGGGCTTTAATATGTATGAGGCATCCGGGCAGTGGTCCACAACACACTCTCAGCCCTCAGCCCTCACTGACTGATGGGAGAGGAGAGAGGGAGGGAGGGTTGGAGAGGGGGGAGGGGGGGGGGGGGGGGGGGGGGCGGGGGCTGCATACTAACCATTCCTGGATCAATTCTCCCCTCCCTTAATACACCATCCTTCCTCCCTTCTCTTTACCCCATTTATCCCTTTTCTTTCTTCTCCCGGCCCCTTCCCTTACTTCTCCATCCTTTTCATCTCTCCTCCCTCCAATTCTTCATCTGCCCCAGCCTTTGTCTCCTCTTCTTCAACTCCATCTATCCATCTCTTTCCTCCTCTACCTCCTTCGATCCCCCTCCCCTCTCCTGCTTTGTGGCATTCCCGGGTTTTATCCCCAATGTGCTTCCGGCCTGGAGACCCGGTGAGAAGAAAAATGATACCTGCAGGCGCCAGGGGAGTGGGCGGCAGGCTGTGCCCTTGGTCAAGGTGCCTGACCTGGACTAAGCCGGTTAAGCAACCCCCCTGTCAGGGGAGAAGCCCAGGGTGTAAGCCAGGGCAGAGGGGTCAGACAGGGGGACAGGAGACGGCAGGGCAGGGGCGGTCCACAGGGGCGACATGTCCTCTAAAACAAACCACCAGTTACACTTTTTCACTCAGAACATCATTTGTTTGTCTGTCCTTCCTCTCTCCCCTGTGTCCGACTCCACTCGCCAACAAAGTCTTTTTGTCCTCTCCCTCCCACCTTTCCTTTCTCTCTTTTTGTATATTTTTTCTTTCTCGTCTTAGGTGTCTATGAACACACTATATCCTCGCTCTCATGTATCCCCCTAACTCATCTCAACTTCTATCTGCCCTTTCTGGCTGTCTCTCTTTCTCATCATAAACCCCCCCCCCCCCCCCCCCCCCACCCCCCCCCCCCCCCCCCCTCCGCCCGCTCTCATCTTGTCTGGAAGGTAAACGTGGCGTTGTATGTTCAAGGTTTTGAACGTAATCTTCGATCATAAATAATTTCATTAGAATGCTGATGGTTCAGGCCCTGTTTGAGTAGATGTGATGGGTTAGGCCATCTGCTCAGCTGATAAGAACAGCTCTGTTTTATTAGCATCTCCACCAAAGCCTCGGCTGTCTTGTTTACCTAGGCAATCCCAAGGCGAATTTCATTCCTTCTGCACATTTAAACTCTATTTACACACTCAGACTCTCTCTCTCCTCTTTACCACTGTCTCTCATTCTCACCCCTATTCCACTCCTTTGTTTTCCTTCTCTCTCATAATTGTCTGTCTAGTTCTCTATCTTTCTGTTCGTATCTTCCTTTTTTTTTGGTCCGTATTCAGACTTCCACCACTCTATCTTCCTTGTGCATTTGTCTTTGCAAAGTAAAGACCCAAGAAACTCCATGGCAGGTGCACACAAACAACTCTCGTCCTGGTCGCTCTATTCAAAACAGGATGGGTTTGTATTTTTTCTCAATACAAACTTCCATGCCCATATGTACATTAAACAAGTTTTTATCGTCTACCTACTGGCTGTGAAGAGATCTCTTCCTAATGTGTCTCGTTCTAATAAGCAGCCTATGCATGTTGCTGCCGAAGCTGATGTGCCCGTCCTGCTAAATGTGAGTGTACGACCGAGCTATTGCGGCAACGAAGATTGCATACAGAGATTACAAAAGCTGTGACTGGTCTGCTTGTGTTTTGTCCTACAAGTTTATTATACCAGTGCAGATAGTTGATATTGAATACAACATTAAAAAGTAAAATCTTGTTTTACTCCAAGGCGTGTCAGTACACAGTGACATTAATGCGGTTACATTTGCAACAGAGCACATATTTGACCACACCCAACCACACTTTAAGCTACAGTTACAACCCCCGATTTATTTGAAAAAGAAAACGAAGGTGAATGGCAAAATTATTATCAGTTATGCCGTATAAATCAAACTAACTATAAATCAAAATGTAAAGGTATCGACGGTGGGACTCCGGTTAATCCCTTGTGTCAAATATACATTTAGCTCAAGATATCTGCCATCTTTATTAAAGTTTAGCAGGAAGTAAAATAAGGAAGCAGGAAGTATCCCTCTGACAAGGCACAGCAATGAAGCACTGCCCATATTATATTCATACATTACAGTCATTTCATACTAAAATAAACTTTATCAGATACCCACTTGACTTTAAAATATATTTCCACACAGAGTGAGGTCTGTGGATTTTGTCTCTCTTACAGTGTGGTCATGCTCCGAGGTGGCCGCCTCGTAGCCAGTATAGACGGGTATTGATAACAGTGACCAATGAGCCTTCAATTTACTTATACCATGTGAGCATTGTCCTAAGGAGATATAGTGGAAACACTTCCTTCCTTTAATGTAAACAAGGGCAAACCCTCAATCACAGCACATTGCACATTAAAAAAAAACACATTTTCTTCCGTTACTGAAGCACTAACTTCCCTCTTTCTCACCCTCTGTCGTGCTGTACCAATTCTTCTTACTTCGAAACATCTCTCTCTTATCACACCTCTCCTCCTTTCCTCCCCCTCTCTTTCTCTCT